GCCGGGAAATTGGAACATTGCACTTATTGACACCCCTAAAGCCCAACTCTAGCGGCCACCTTTTCCGCTGACCGGGGCCGGGGGGGTTGGGGTTTGCTGCTTTTTCCCATTTCCCAAGCGCATCCCGTCTTCCAGAGCTCCCAGCGCAATGAGGAGGTTTCGGAAAGGCGGGGGGTGGCGTGGAGAGAGGGGGTGGAGGGGATAGACCACAAGGAGAGGTGTGAGGTGAGGCGGCGCAGCAGAGCCAGGGCCAGGAATTAAGCTGATCTTGCAGGAGCAATAGGCAGCGAACATCGGAGTGAAAACGCCAGGCCCGGGCTGATCTTCTACCCCCCTACCCCCCACCACTCCCCACCACCTCCCAATGTCCTGTTCATATCTAGAAATCTATCGACCTCTGCCTGGAGCGTACTCAGCCTCCGTGTGGGCGGACAATTCCAAAGATTTCCCACCCTCCCATCTGAAGACGTTTCTCCTCCGAATTGACTGCGCTCTTGTTCAGAGACTGTGTCCCACTGGTTCCACCCTCCTGAGAACTTGCTGGCCAGCCCGATGAGAATCCGAACATGCTCCAGTGAGATCACCTCTCACTCTTGTGAGCTGCGGCGAATTCAGTCTGTCCTGGCCACCATTCCCGGGAATCATTCTGGGGAAATCCCCTCTTGGGCGAGTCTGTCGCTCCTGAGATAAGGAGATCGAAAGCAGCGCACAACCCTCCAGGTCCAACCGAGCTGCCCCACAACAGCATTGAGACTTCACCATGTCTGAAAGCCCCATCCTCTTGCAGCGAAGTACCATTTTGCCCTCCCGGAGCACTTGCTGTGGCCCGAGCGTTTGCTTTCAGGGACCGGCGAGCCACAGAACGCCATTTCCGATCTCCACATTTCTCAGTTGCCCGCCACTGAAGAAATGTTCCGTGTTTTAAGCCCCTTCTACAGAAGTGGTTCTCCCACTGGCCCCTTTTTTTTTTTGTCCCAGGAGAGCAGGAGCCGCCGGAGATCCACGTTAAGTGGGAGTGCTGTGCGAACTGGCCCAATAGCTTAGCGGATGGGTTCGGGATTGAGCATCCCCATCTAAAATCCCCTGCTTGGAGCGAAGGGCGGTGAAGGGGTAGTGGCCAGGCGGATAGTTTGAAGCCTTTTTGACTCGTCAGGCAGCTTTAGATCGAGCTGTTTGTGGCTGGAAGAGGAGGAGCTGTCGAGCAATATTATTCTTAGAGATAGTAGGAACTGCAGTCGCTGGAGAATCTGAGATAACAAGGTGTAGAGCTGGATGAACACAGCAGGCCAAGCAGCATCAGAGGAGCAGGGAAGCAGACGTTGCGGGTCTGGACCCTTCTTCAGAAACCTTTTTCGAAACGTCAGCTTCCCTGCTCCTGTGATGCTGCCTGGCCTGCTGTGTTCCTCCAGCTCCACACCTTGTTATTTCCAGGAATATTATTCTTGCCCTTCAGCTTGGCTGCTTTCCTCTCTCCTCTCTCTCTGTCTCTGGTGTAGTTCCAACTGTGACTGCGGGGGGGGGTGTGTAGAGGGCAGGGTTTCTGGAGGCATCTCTTTTCTTTGTAATACCTGCTGAGTTCTTGAGATCTCAATGTTTGCCCTGACTTGGAAAGTGGAGGGGGCTGGTGGGCGGAGAGAAAATAAAACTGAAATGGCTCCCTGAAGTTTTCCTTAAATTCAGTGCCAGGTTGAATCCTTAAACGCAACTTCTCACTTTGATCTGCCTTGTGCCTAGTTTCCCACCCCCCCCCCAAATCCTTGAGTGTGTATCTGAAGGAGAATTTCTAACCCCCTCCCCCCCAAAAATAAACACAGAAAGCCCAAATGGGAATCTTGTGACCGGGAAACGGGGAAATTCGATGACGGGGGTTGATGGGGGTGGGGGGAATAGTTCTCTGCAAAATCGTCACGGCGTCGCCCGCATCCGGAGCTCGGTTTGGGGGACAGTTTGCGCCGTGGTCCTGAGGTCAACGTGGCAGTAGCGGTTACATGCACAGGAGGCTGGTAGCATCGCATGGACGTGCTGATTGAGACTGGGTTGGATGGCGGGGGCGCGCGGTCTGATAATACTGAGGCTCTGCGAAAGGGGCCACAGTAAGTGTCTGCAACGTTTCTTGTCCCGCACGCAAGATCTGGCAAGTTTTGTGGCAGTAAAGTTGAGGGATGGGGGGGTATGTAACTGATTGATGCTGAAGATTTGCATGCAGCGAGTGGGGTAGAGACTTGAGTCGGGCGATTTGGACCTTTTGAACTAATCTCTTCTCTTGCAGGTTCAGCCCGAGGGTAAATGTTGTTGTTGGGCTAAACAAGGGCTTGAGGGGTTATCACCCTGACCAGCATCTCCCAACCCCCACCACCCACACCATGTGTAAGCACAAAGTAGGAAGCTGTTAGTCCCATATGGTTGATGGGGAGGGGGGAGCAGACTGCTTTGAAAACACTCTCTG